CACACACACAAAGATACATCAAACACACACAGAGTCACACACACACGCACAAAGATACATCAAACACACACAGAGTCACACACACGCACAAAGATACATCAAACACACACAGAGTCACACACACGCACAAAGATGCATCAAACACACACAGAGTCACACGCGCACACACACACACATGCACAAAGATGCATCAAACACACACAGAGTCACACACACTCACACACAAAGATACATCAAACACACACAGAGTCACATACGCACACACACACACACTGATATACCAAACACAGAGTCACATGTGCGTACACACGGATACATCAAACACATGCAGATACATCAAACAGAGTCCCACAAAAAAGTCACACACTAACAGATCCATCAAACACAGTCACACACAGAGTTACATGCACACAGAGAGAGAGATACATCTAACACACACAGAGTCACACGCACACAGATACACACACACACAGAGTCACACGCACACAGATACACACACACACAGAGCTACACATTCATGCACACATGAATTGCACACATGCACATATACACACACACCGACACATCAAGCGCACAAGAGTCACACACACACGGAGTCACATACACACGGAGTCACACTCACATGCATACACACACACACACAGATACATTAAAAACAGACTCACATGCGCACACACACATCAAAGTTACACACTCAAAGTCACACACACAGTCACAAACACACAAATACATCAGACACACAGAATCACACATACATGGATAAATGAAATGCACAGAGTCACACATGCAGATACATCTAACAAAAGTCACACACACACACACACAGTGTCACAAACACATTTGGGCACACACTCCACTATTCCAATCTTTGTGGAGACTCTCCATTAATTTCTATGGGAAAACCTTAATCCTAATAATGACAGCCTTAACCCCTACCCAGCCATAACCTTAACCATAAGTAACCAAACAAAATACAAGACTTTCAACATGTTTGGTTTTGTGATTACATTCATATTTCCATTGTGGGGACCGATAAAATGTTTGTTCTCCACATTGCAGTATATAAAAGCACATCAAAATCAAACACACACACACACACACACACACACAACTTCTCCAAAGTGATTTATAATTTTATCCATTTGCACAGCCAGGCAGAGTCAGCTCTGGGTGTTCTGGCGCCCTAGGCGAGATTTTGCTAAGTGCCGCCCAACTCCTAAGAAGCAGAAACACAAATTTTGTCAGTTCGTTTATATTAAAGACATCTCTCTAGCACAGGATATCTGGCTGCTAACTCGCTAGCTTAAGCAGGGCTGAGCATGCCTGCTGTCCGCGTGTCAGAGGTGGCCGAAAAGGTACACACTTCATAAACGCCTTCACTGCACGATTGTGCTACACGTATGACCATCGAGTTACGCTCCCTGACATGTTACGTCCCTTGTCGTGTCTCAGGGAGCTTTTTATTATAAAACTAATAAGGCAACTAGTAATAGACTCACCCGTTGTTACTGCCACTGTTGTCTGCACTAATCTCAGACTGGCCATAGAAAGTGCAGCTCTTTTCTTTGTTAGGACGGCGACACTGCGTAATACTTTTTTTCCCCATTGTTATGGCAATTTCAGTAAATTTCCACCAGGTGGTGCTAATAAGCCCATCTCTTTTCAGCAGCAGCTCTGAGTCAAATTTAAGCATTTAGATGTTTGTCTTATGCCTGTTGAGGCGGAGAAGATGCGTTTCAGGAATAAAGGTCACCCTTTCCGGAAAATGTCTCACATCACTCATTAGCACATATTTAAACTCCATTGCGTAAGCATGCTCATAACTAAGCCTGCAAGTCGAAAAATAAAAACATTTAAGGGATAATAGCTTTTCACTAAAATGTGCCTTGGAATTTCATGTTTCTGAGTAGCCCGGTGACCTTCTGTTTTGCTCCAGTTCCGCCACCGGCAGGATGCCTTTCCGAGTCGCACCAGATCAGGGCCCCAGTGAGTCACCGGCAGCCACGTGGCCGCCGGCTAATTCATCCCCGTCAGGTGCGGCGACTTCATGAGGAAACTCCACCACATTCAGCTAAAAAAAGACCATGTGGTACACACCCAAAGAAACCGGAACCATCCGTCTGCGGCCCTGTTTTATTCATGCCGGGGCACTCAGATAGCGTGGCTTGTGCTTTAAGTAGCACACAAATGTCCTCTGGTGCAGTCGATATGTGACGCTAATGGCTAACTAGCATCCAGGTCTGGCAGAGAGAAAGCGTGCTGACATTGTGCTTCGGTTACAGGGACACCGGAATGCTTCTTTTCACATATCCCATCATGGTCTCCTTTGTGACACGCACATAAATGCAGTTCAGAGGGAAGCTTGACGTCTCAGGAGCAGCATTTCAGGGACGGAAGGTCTTTCTTAAGGGCCCAAGGAACATGTGACTGCTAAGGACTGTAAACCTTCCAATCACAGACACAGAGGTCTAACCTACTGAACCACACACCAAGTGAGGATGTGACGATATTTGGGAAATTTAATTGAAAACGTAGTGTAATATGGGCGGGGGTTGGAAATTTCAGGTCCAGAAAGTAAAAATCCAGACCAAGATTTTGTTTCAACCAACCAGTTGTGGACTCTGTGACTGTGACTCCAGACTGGTTGGTTGAAATAAAACCTTGGTCTGGATTTTTACTTTCTGGACCTAAAATTTACACCTGCAAATATAGGACAACGAATCAATTGTATAGACAGGGGGTCATGACGCTGAATGTGAGGGGGGCGTGTGTCCTTCGCTCACCTTGCTCCATCTTCTGGGAGGCCTGTGGGCGGGGCCCGTTCGTCTCTGATGTGCAGACGTCATCCACCTGACCCTGGGAGTTTCGAGCCAGGAGCCGGTCGGAGATTGACATGGGGTGGGCAGGTGTGAGGTGAGGTCGGTAGAGGAGAATCACATCGCTCGAGTCTTCCGTGCCGCTGCTGTCGGACCCCTCGTCCTCCACGGCTTCCTGCAGATATGGCGGCACACGCATTCACATGTCACCCAAAAACCACACAGCCTTGGCAGCCACAAACAGCGGCATGGTCTGTATGTCGATATCACAAAACTCACAGGAGTTTTACTTGCACAAAAACGTTCTGAGGGCGCAATGAAAAATGATTGCTTTAGAGAGATAACCAATCAGATTGTAGAGGAGGTGGGTCAATCAGATGTACTGGTCCCGCTTCCTTTGGTTGATTGGACCCACCTCCTCTACAATCTGATTGGTTATCTCTCTAAAGCGATCATTTTTCATTTTGTCCTCACAGCATTGTCGTTTAAGTATAACTCCCACAAGCACTCACAAACACTCACGCCGGCTCATCTTGTTCAGATCAACAATATTGTACGATATACCTTAAAGAGTGTATTTACAATCCACACTTCAATACTGAAGTACACATCAAGCGCCCAATTCTAATTAATAATTAATATTTAACGTGTAATTTTTGGATACAGCATGCCGAGAGTGCTGCTTTAAAGACTTCATTATCTGCTATGCTTAATGGCAGCGTAAATGGCTTTTGGGTTAGTCCCATGAAGCACCATGAATCACACTGTAAGTTAATAACACACCTTATTGTTATGGGAATGGAATACATTACATATGATAAAGGAGTGTGCGCACTAATAATGTATAGCGCATTATATTGTATTGATTGTGGTGTGAACGTAACGCACTGTGCCTGGTTGGTAGTCCGGAATCCTGCTCAGGAACGTGGACCGCTTGTGGGGGTGGGGGGACGGGGGGTTGGTGATCTCACTGTTCACCATTGATGTAATGCTCCCCCCCCCCCCCCCCCGATGCATCAGGCCACATTACTTTGGGGACGGCGTAATGCTGTGATTTAAATGTAATCTTCCTCGAGCTAATGAATTTTTAAAGGGATTTAAAGCATGAACGATATGACTCCCTTAGAACGGCCAGGGGGTGGGTGATCATGCCGGCTTGGACGCCACGGCGATGGCGTCGCTCGGAGCGACAGAAGGAGAGCCACGCGCAACAGGGGCTGATTCTGCGTGGCTCCGCGGGGCCCCCTGCTGCACGGAGGGAGAGTTCCGCGGCCCTGCCCCAGGAGAATCGATCCCGTCCATCTGCAGTTGGCGGCCGTACCGTCTGAGGCCATCTCATTCCCCGCTCAAGTTTTTCAGCCATCTGCTCAGGGAGAACCTCGAGCAGGCCCATCTCCAGCTGCCGGCTGCCGTCACACGCACACGCGTGCGCTTGCTCATGGGCGGGGGGGCGGCCGCATACACACACACACACAGGGGCATTCACATGCAAGAAGCGGGCAGGCATAAACACAGCCACAGAAACAGGGATATGCATGCTCATGTTCATACACACACACACACACAAATATACACACACACACACACACACACAGGTTTGTAATTATATCTTTGTGAGGATTCTGCATTCATTTCTATGACGACCTTAACCCCTACCCAGCCCTAACCTTTATCTTAAGTAACCATTTTAACTTTTTTGATTGCATTCACAGATCTTTGTGCGGACCCGAAAAAGGGTCCCCACAACGTCAAAAAAATCAGGTTTTTATTATATCGTTTGGAACATTTGGTCCCCACAAAGTAATATAAACCTAGTCCGTACACACACACACACACACTACAGCCCTATCCCCGGACAAATATAGACGAGCATGGTGGAAGGACGGCAAAACGAGGCTGTTGTTCACCAGCTGTTCCACAGCAAGGCAGGATGGGGCAGACATGACAGACAAGCCCCGACTGAAACAGGCCCAGAACAGCTGTGTGAAAGTGGATCTGGGATGGGGGGGGGCAGAGCCAGCAGGACCACAGCGTGTCGAGAGCGGGCCAGCCTCAAACGGAGCTCCCCGCTGTTACATTTCACATGCCGTAAATATATGTAATGTGCGATCCATTCAGCGGTAAAAAGCTTGACCATATGATTCATGGACGGGGAAGTTAGCTGACCTAAGCTAAGGCGGCACGGCGGTCATGACTGCCTTTCCTGAATGAAACGATACAACTTCAGCGCTCTGATGTGGTTTTGGCACCACTTTGCCGTGGTAAATGATCAGAATGGCAAAGGCAGTAGAGTAGACCCCCCCCTCCCGGAAGGAAAGGGGGCTACTTGCTCAGATCAACAGCCCTATTCTGCACCCTCCCCCCCCCATCCTACAATCAAAACTGAAACCCAGATACAGGCAAGTATTGGCAAGACACTGTTCACAAGTCAAGGCTAGACCATGGAGGTGAGGCTCTCACCCTTATCTATGTGTCAAGGCTGAATATCCAGCCCTCTATGTAAGGGACTCCTCCGCTTCTACCATTGTTACTGAAACAAATTGTTGACGACGTTTATAGCTTGACCGGGTGATCGTGAGAACCGGAAGACATGTCGAGAGCTACGTATAAAACTTATTCAAATGTGTATGGGGAGGGTCAAGAGGTTCAGTGCTTAGTGTGTGTGACCGTGTGCTTTGAGTGGATGCTTACATCATCTGCGGTACCAGGTTGCTCCTGCAGAGGGAGCAAGTTAGGCTCCGGCGCGGAGTCTTCAGTTTTTACCTTTAGAAGAGAGGAAATAATATTAACAAGGAATCAGGAGCAGCTCTCGGTGTGTTGGGATCAGGAAATAATTCATGTTACCTCCTCTAAGACAAACACTGAAGGTGTCAGCGCTGAACTTGTATATGTATTAATCACCGGTATTTTGTAACATTTGTGCCACTATTTTTAACTAATCTATATAATTTTGAATAATTTAATAAGAACATAATTTAATGAAAGCAATTTTTTGAGAAAATGTGATATATCTAATACATAAAATTAATAAAATAACAACGTGGATTATGGATTAATATGTATTATAAAAACTGTGTGAAACAGCACACCAGCTTCTGTTACTGACGTTTTTGCTGTATCTGTGTGTTTGATTACTCAGATCACATCTCTCCGAATCACTGCTGGGAATTTCCCTAGCGCTGTGTGCTTAAGAAACCAGCCCAAAACGATCACTATTTCACGCCGAGTGAAGGACTCTGACGCAGGGCTCCAGGTTTTGATGTATGTCTCAGTCAGAGCGAACAGGTTAGCCGACATTATTAATGGAGCTGTTGACTCACAAAAACGTGTCTCTAAGTCCTTACTTTTGACCGTCACGTATTGTGGGTCAAAGTCTTTGAGGTGGGTAATGATTTGGGGGCTACTTGCCTCTTATGATAAGGCAATCTCAATCCATTATCACCCCTATTTACTGTACGTAGCAGAAACATCAATAACACTTGTGGGGACACAAAAGTTACTCAGTTACTACTCAAGAACAAATCAGGAACAAATATAGTTTCTGAATGGATTACATGAACAGTCATGATTTATTAATGATGAACAAGCATGGGATCAGTACTTAACTAACACTTAGTTACTGGTTAATTAATGGATTAAGTAAGAGTGTACTGCTACATTATTTGTGCTCCCTCGAGTGGTGTTACCAAAATATCCATCATTGCTTGTGAAGTGAACCATGAAATAGGCTCGGCTTGAATCGTGATTGTCTAACCTCGGGTCCACCCTTCCCTTTGATGGCGCGATACGTATGTACACGCGTCAGTCAGCGCCCCTACACCCTTGCTCCACGCAGCACTTACGAACCCCGGCTCACCTGTGAGGGTGCAACTATGCGTGGCCCTGGGGAGGGAGGAACGCCCTGCAGGGAGAAAGAGGCCTTAAGTACTACGCCTTTAACAACGGAAGAAAAAAATCATCGCTGTTATAAAACTGCCAGTGAGGACATTAGTGTTGGCAGCCATGTGTGTTTCTGTGTTTGAGTGTGTATGTGTGTGTTAGAAAATAGTGTGTATATATATATATATATATAACTCTGGCTACATCTTTCTTTGTCTATTAACTACTTAAAAATGTACACAATCAGGTAATACTTCCATAAGACAAACACATCCATAATCAGTTAAGCGTATCATTGTTCAGTGCAGTTGTTTAATAACACGCACAAGCACAGGTGGCTACACACAAACACACAGAGACACAAACCTTGAAATCCAGCCGTATGTTTGGTTTGGGTGAAACGTTTTCTGTCCCAGTCTGGGCTGGCACTGAAGGGCTTCTGTTTTCCAGATTGTACCTGAGATCTGTTTGGTGCCTGAGAATGCAAACGGTGGGTAATGAGCTCATTGCACTGCAGGTGAGATCAGAAAGTAAGGCAAAGTCGTTGTGTAGGAGTCGGCGATTGTGGTCTGACCCTTTGCGCTCCCTGAGCTGAGATAGGATGACGGTGGAGGACATCGGCTCGTCCGTGTCTTCGATCACATTGACGTGCACATCTCCATCCCGGCCCAGGAGCCAGGAGACATTCTTACTGGGACCTGCAAAGCACAGAGGGTCTCTCAGCACCGGGAGTTTGCCAGCTCGCTTCAGCACGCTCCCACTGATAGCAGATGTTAGCGTGGGAAAGGAAGGGTCCTCCTGACTGAAGCAGGGACACGCGGTCAACTGGTTCTGCCGGTGAGCCTCGCAGAGGCGGCATTCCACTCTGGAAGCTCAGGTGACATGGGGAATATTTGGAATGTAAAGAGGAAAATGGAGCCAGGCTGGACTGGCGGGCTCTGCCTGCGGCCCTGCCCACGCAGACATGCGGAGTGTGCTCCCCCATTAAGGCTCTCGCTCCCCCGCCTAGCAAAAGCACGCTGCTTGGCCGTCGAGCTCCCAGGTGCCCTGATGAGGCAGAAGCTGGGGGCGGGGCTTCGCTCAGCCTGGAAGGAGCTTCAGAAATGGGGGGCAAGGGGGGGGATGGCACAAACTCCAGGGCTGCAGTCTGGTTTTAGAACTTTTGGCAGGGCGAAGCAGCTAATTATGGACTTCTCCGGGTAATTGCTGAGTCTCGCCCGAAACAGCCATGGCGTCTCGTGAAAAGTGCTCTTCCTGGTTCGGAGACTTGCCTTCTGGCACATTTCCACCGCAGACCGGAGGGGAGCTGGGCTGCACTGCTAGATGGGAACAAAGCACCTCCTTCCTGCAGGAGTGGCTGTAATTACAGAGGGCGCTCTGTAACCCTGTAGGGAGCACCTGCAAGGGGCTGGGCACGTGGCTGGTGGGGGGGGGGGGGGCACTGCGAGGAGGTCAGAGTCAGGATCGCAGGATACGCAGAGGGGGGCCCCACAGTGTATGACACGCACCTCCCTGCTCCACACATTCCCCCCCCCCAGCATCGACCTGGTGAGGGCATGATCTCTCTCTCTCTCGCTCGCTCTCTCCGCGTATCGAATCTCGGCGGGTTCACCGTAACTCGACGCTGCCATGGTGAACTGAGCCACTGCTCACCAGGACCTGAGACAAGTCCCGCGTCACGTGACCCACGGCTTGCAGTGCCCCCGTCGCCTGTTTACCTGCCCTGCCCCCGGCTCGTTTGCCCCCGTTCTGCCCGGGGTTTCAGAGGCCCTCCTATTCCCCGACGGTTTCATTTGCTCTGCTTCTTTGTCTTCCGCTGACACTGGCCGGGACCCTGATGTAATCGCGAGAGATAACCTATTCGCGTTTCCCCGCCGCGTGCACCAGCCCCAAAGTGACACACGGGAGGCTGATTCTTGCAGCGGCACTGAGCTGTGCACTGGGGTTTGTGACACTTGCACCTGACACATAAACACTGGTCAGAGATGCTGAACACTCAGCACATGCTAGGATCCTCGGGACAGCAACAGGGACGGTACATTCCACTATTGCAGAATCAGCCAGATACCCCCCAACCAAAAATCAAGTGAAAACAACCCTTTGAATGCATTTTGAAATCAGAGGCCAGTTTCCACTCCCCCTCTGGTTTCAGATGCAGACGTGCTTCAGCAGATAATCGCAATCATTCATGCAAACATCTCAGTGTGGCTAATCCAACCAATTAATGGATTTCCCATGAATACACCCATCAGTTATAAAACAAGGAAAGGCAGCCGTGCCGTGAGGAGCACTGGAAACCGCAGCAGTCGTGCAGCCATATCTGCAGCTTGTTTACCCCTAAAGGGAAACACAGGGATTATGGGAACAGTAACGGCTCATCACAGAACCTTTAAGAAAAGTATCCAGCGAATGTAATCAAATACATCTAGAACATTCTTCCTCTCTGTGTTTCCTACCAAGGAGGTACATGCCTGGAAAGATGAAGATCAAATGCAGGAAAAACATTGCAGGAAATGCGAACAGGTCTATTACAGATACTTATTGCATTAGTTGCTTCAGTCCACAGGCCGCACACACACACACACACACACACACGTCTGTATTCATATCTTTGTGGGGACTGTCCATTCATTTCTATGGGCAAAACCCTAATCCCAGCAATGACAACCTTAATCCCTACCTAGTTCTAACCTTAACCATAAGTAACCAAACAAAATTTTTGATTGCATTCACAGATTTTTAGAGTTTTTCCTTGTGGGGACCAAAAACATGTCCCAAGAAAATCAATCAGACGCACACACGCCCTCCTACACCCATACACATACACACATAGCCACACGCACACACGTGGACGGAAACAGCTTCACATTGCTGTTCATTTAACCCATTCTCGCCCATAACCCATCCAGAATGCTTCTCTCCTGCAACAGCATGGGACGGTGTTTATTCTGTTTCTTGTGTTCCCAGCATATTGTCCTATTTCTTTAAATGACTGTGACTGTGGCAGAATGAATAAACGGATGAGAGAGTAAAAGCTGTTACTGCAGCGTAAGTGCCACTGCACCCAAGGGCAATCTATGACAAAACTGGTCAGTGCTGTTAGAGTCCTGTAACAGTAGGGTTTGACCGGGACAGGACAGCTCTATAACAATGTAATTATTAAGGGTATTACCAGAATAAGACAGGGTGGGGCTTTACCGGGTAAGGCCAACCCTGTAAGAGTGAGGTATTACCAGGGTAAGGCAGCACAGTAAGAGTGAGGAATTAAGGGAATTAACCAGGTCAGACAGTTCTGTAAAAGTAATGTGTTATCAGTGTTTGACAGCTCTGTAATACTGGGAATTTACAAGGGTAAGACAGCCCTGCAACAGTGGGGTTTTACTAGGGTAAGACAGCCCTGTAATAGTGGGGTTTTACTAGGGTAAGACAGCCCTGTAACAGTGGGGTTTTACTAGGGTAAGACAGCCCTGTAAGAGTGGGGTTTTACTAGGGTAAGACAGCCCTGTAACAGTGGGGT